AATGTTTATAATTTATCTCCTTTAAAATGTAAAGTCAATATGTCATCCTGTCAGCTGTAGAATTTCCATGGGTCCTGCTGGTTTATACAATTTGTAGAAAAGGACAGTCTTGTTTGCTTTTTTGCTATTCTGAGTTATGCATTTTTTTTTTTTTTTTTTTTGGCTTTAAATTCTTATCTCCAAATGCATGCTGCTGCTGCTGCTTCCTTGTATAACATTTAAATTTTGTTGCTAACAGAAAAATGATACAATCATGATTGAATCATGCTTGTACTTATAAAATTATTTTCTGCTTTACAGTTGAATGAATGCAGCTGGGACTTTTTTACTTTTTTTTTTTTTTTTTTTTTTTTTTGTATTAATGTTGAATAAAAGTTGGATATGTATGGAGCAAATTCTTTTAGATTTTATTTTTTTGTGTACAAGGAACATTTTAAAAACCAAATTAAACAATTATTGCTACTCTAAGAATAGTCTCTGTAGAATTAAGAAAAATTCCAAAGTGAATGATTTCACACCTAATTTAGAAATTATATTTTTAGGCTTTGTAAACATGGAAATAATGTGCAGATAATGTAAACAGTTAACAACTTGAATAGACAAATTAGTAAGCTGAATTCAAATGAAGACTGAGTTTGTTGCATTCACTTTTGCACAAATACTCTTGGGGGAAAGTATGACGTCCCCCTTTCCCACATCAGCTATGAGCTAAATAGCAGAACTGACTGTTTTCTTGCCTTGAGGTGGCAACCAATTTAAGAGAAGGAGAACTAAATTCAAAATCAGTCTGAAAAATAAAGTGTTCTGTCAGGCTATCTTGCTCTAGACATACCATTGCTGCTTTTGCTGCAGTACAAGTGATGCTCAGTCCTGGGTATAATGATCAGGAGCATGGAACTACCTCTTAATTGTTGTCTGACCTGACCTGGGGTGGGCTACCACCTGTTAGGGTCCCAGCTATGAGCAAATAAGGAACCCAAAAACAAAACACTATGACAGTATTAAAATACATTTTTTATACAGTAAAATTACCAACAATACATATTTATAGTAAAATTACCGACAATATATATTTAAAGCAAAATGACCAACAATACATTTTATCTGTAGTTGAAGACATACAGATGCATTCAAAATATATTTAGTTAAAAACCATAAAATTGTTCAAAATATTTAGATTTTGGCATAAACAAAATCAAACAACCAACATGAAAGAAATCTTTCATGACATTAATCCATATAATATCCAACAATTTCTTAAAGGAATCAAACTGTATTCCAAAATATTACTTCAACAAAACTACCAAAAAACATGCCTATAGTAATTATGTCTACATAATATGCATCAAACCTGAGTACCATCTACAAATTATTCAATTGGGAAAGCAAAGTAACACACACACATATATATATATATATATATATATATATATATATATATATATATATATATATATATATATATATATATATAACTTTGATTCCTTCAAAGCTCCCAAGAAAATTAAATTTTGGCATTAAATGACCCATAAAGAGTTGATGTGCTGTTAAATAAACAAATCAACAAACATGTGGTATCTCTATGATCCTAATAGATTATGGATCTCCTGATGTGATGTGAAACATTGAAAATGTTTTGGTGCTGTTTATATCAAGAAAATGTTTGAACAAAATGAATTTACCAAATTTTTATGAGTTTGTAATAGCAAATTTGTTTTGTTATGAAATAAATTATTTTCTTTATTCTTCACCACTTCTGTATTATTGGAAGTATTTTCATCATTCCACTTATTTTTCTTTAACCTAGCATTATTCCGACCTGTGCATTCTTTGGCCGTCTGCAGATGTATATTTTATACTGCATTTAAAATTTACATAAGTACATTTTTCTTTTTTTTTTTTTTTTTTTTTTTTTTTTTTTAAATCTCATTAACTAGAAACATAGTAGCTAAATAGAATCATCGGACTAGGTAACCTCTAAAGACCACAATATGAAACATAATCTCTATAGAGATAAAGATAATTGTTTGAAAAATCTATGGAATGATGAAAATACTTGAATTCAGAAATCATCGACAAAAAATTTTCTTTTCTTTTTTTAAACTTCCTAAAACAATATTTTAAACTGTTTGCACAAAAGTTAAATAATGTTAATAAGCTTAAAAAAAATAAAATAAAATTTCTAAATCAGCTGCAAGAAATTGGTGGAATTTTCTTGTGTCATTATTAAAGAAGCCATTTTTAGTCGAGCAGAAAACTTGAATTTTACAATGATCTTTGAAGGCCACATACTCAGTCTGGTTGAAAAACGAAGATAGTCTGGAAAATATATGAGCAGATTTATATAATGGATTAAGGAATTTGTCCTTTTTATCCCAGTCGATATGCAATTGATATGACATGATCTATTTGTATTTGGCATGAATTAAGCAAAATAATAAATTTGAATATATTTATTAATTTAAAAAATTTTTTATAAAAAATAAATTAGAATATATTTATTAAAGTGTCATAATTCTCACTTTTATATTTTCATTACAAATTACTAAAAATTAATTTTATCTTGTTACTGAAAAAAAATGTAAATTAAAAAAAAAAATAAATAAATGCAAAGATTAAATCCATCTTAAATGTGAGTTTGTTGTGCAGCAAAGAAATTTCTAGCAGGGATAAATTCTGTTCTGTATTTCCTGATGAAGTGTATTTAAAAAAAAACCAAACCCAAAACCACTTGTCTTGTACTGTGATGATTAGGGTTGGGTAGGCTTCTTTGATTTATTGGTACACCTAAATATCCCACCTTGTTTGACACTCCGGTCCCCAGGTTAAATATAATTTGATTATAAAAGATTAAATTATGATTAAAATAAAAAATATGAAAAAAAGATGAATTACATGCAAGTGTTATAATTTGTCTTTCTTAAATATTCATTGCCAAATTATAAGTGTGTGTGGTATAAATTAGTATTTTTTATATAATGAGGCAATATGGTATTTTGAAATTTTCTATCATTTCTCTAAATAGGACTTTAGGGTCAAAATTTATTCAAATATAATTAATTGGCTAATATTTCATCAAATTCAAAAAACATGTTAAAAATTTTTTACAAATTATGCATTTGTCTTTATTTCTGAGATGAGGTATTATGTATACTATTTACATTATTCGGACTATTGTCCTCATCTTTGTCACCATATTACCGTTATCCACTGTGCCATGTATCCTCAAGGACACATGGCACAGTGGACAAAGGCGTTGGTTAGATCCAAAGAGTCAATACCCGGTTAAGGCAGTGGAGAATAACTGATAACTGACATTCATTAAACATGGCACGTGGAACTAGAACAGTCTACCCCAGTGAGCGAAATAAAGGGTTCAGTTCAACATTCCAACCACCTGAAAGAAGGCGGGCGTCTGGGAATGGCCAAAACGTTGTGATAAGTATGGCAACAAAGATGATGACAATAGTCCGAATAATGTAAATAATGCATTATATAGTAAGGTATATGGAGTTTTGTTGCCTTGGGTAGCAAGCAGTCTATAATGAAAACACTGAATTCAGACCCCTTTAATGGGATAGACAGCTTGTAAAAGCATTCCAAACCAGTATGAAGAGGGATTGGTTTCATCAGGCTATCTTTCCCTAGACTCACCTCTACTCTGCTATGGTTACAGTACATGTAATGCACCAAATGACACTAATGCTATGTTTCTAAACCTTTTTAAGCAACAGCACACCTGGGAAAATTTTTTTAAGGGTGTACATTTAAATGTTATGGAATAAAAACAGATTTTTAAAAAAAAAATACACATACAAATATGAACTTATTTAGGATTGAGAAACCTAATTCATATGAATAGGAAGTAGAAATTGTACTAAAACTGATAAAGCCTTTTTAGCTAATGTGGGTTAATAAGTTTAATACTTATTCATTTATTCAAATACTAATATTGTACCATTACTACTTCCCCCCCCCCCACATATGCCATGAAAATATTTTGTTGCACGCTAGTGTGCTGAGGCATGGCAGTTTAGAATCACTGCTCTTATGGGCTATGGAACCTGTCATGGTGAATAGGATTATTTTAATGTAGAAAAGTGATGTAATGGAATAACCTGTCACCCCACCCATGAGTGACTACACTATAGGTAGTAACTACCTATAGGTATCTGTAAGTCAATGGACTACAGTCTAGCTGCGATCTGTTGAGTACAACTTGGATTTATGTGAGAACTATTGACCTTCCAATAGTAGCACTCACTACTGGATTGACTTGCGACGACCTTGTGCATAACTGTTACCTTTATCCTTATTGTGTTGGTTTTTACAGTAAACCTTTATTTATTTTATCCACCATGTTTTTCAAGTATATATTCCTATTAATATGGAATATAACAAAAGGTCATTGTGATTTTATGTGCTTTTTAGATAGATTTTATTTTTCTAAGATATTGCTCAATATTTGTTTTTGTATTCTGACAAAGAAGCTGCAATATTAAAGAAAAAAGTGGAGCACCTATTCTATACCCATTTCATCTAATCCTAATTGTGTGCCATGTCAAATTCTTCAGTCAAAGGATTCTGTTGGGCAAAAGAATTTTCTTCACAAAGCAAATTGTTTTGTTTCATGTCTCATTTTCTTCAAAGAAAATGATGCTTGGTTGGCCATATATCTTATAAACACCCACTCCTATACTAAATGGTGTACTTTTTCTCAACTATTGGTCACATAGCCAACAATCTACTCCATCAGATTAGATATTGAAGTAACCAGTCTTAAAGAGGGTAGCTAGTATTGGCTACTCTGTTGGCCATGTTTCACCTTAGATAAAATTTCATTTTTGCTGTTATGAAATGTATCCTGTTACTCCAATTGTTGTCTGGATGTTCAGTTTCTTGAATCAATTTAATATGACCTGATAATGCTGGCTTCAAAAAGTTTCTTTTGATAGTGGATTACACTGTAGTTGAGCTAAAGTCCCTTTGTCTTTCTTCAGCCTACCAACATCAGCAGCAACCACCTCAACAACAACAGCAACAACCACCCCAACAGCAGGCTCCACCACCACAACAACAACAACAGCAACCACCCCAACAACAGCCACAGCTACAGCAATTTCCTGGCAGTGGTGTACCTGGACAACAGTTTAGTCAACAACATGGTTCAGGTCCTCCTTGTACATTTGTTGGCACACAGCCAGGCCCTAATCCCAATATTCAGAATTTTGCTTATCAGCAGCAGCAGCAGCAACAACAACAGTCGGCACCCCAACAACAACAAGCTCCTAACCAGACTTACAATCCATATCAACAGGTAAGCAAAATAATTTTTATTAATTATTTAAAAAAAAAAAAAAAAAAATTTTTTTTCTCTTTCTTTCTTCGTTTTTGGTGATCTAAAAAAAATTTTGTTTTTGTCTTTGTAGCAATTGAAAATTTTCATTTTGTAAGCTATATAAAACTTAAGCCAATTCAAAAATGATTCAAATAACATTTTTTAGAAAATTAACCAAAAAATGACTGGGTATAATGGGTTAAACTAACTTTCTTGCTTATTTCCAATTATCATATTTGTGATTCAATTGAACCAATTATTTCTATTGACATACGGGGCGTGTATGCACGTACCTTGACTCCTATTGTAGAACAATATCTTGCAAGTTTGTCTTATTGGATGATTAGTCATGTAATAAATTCAAACTTCATTACATGTATTACTTTTAAGGCCTTGTGCCAGAATAAAGTGAACTTAGTAAATATATAGATGAAGTGGGGTGCTGAAAAGCTCTTGATCTGGAGACACTTTCCAACAACTAGGTTAATGACCAAACATCAGCTTTTTGGTTTTTTTTTTTTCACCTCTACTTCATGCATATATTTTGTGTGTATGTATACACACAATTTCAAAACAAGCAGATGTTCTTTTCAGCATACCTTTTTGAACATTTGCGATCATTCACCAGTTAACCTTTTAGCATTCACCCTGTCCCGTAAATATTGGTTCCCAATGTTCATTCCACCCCATATATACACTGCCATAATAAATGACAATATATTTGCAAATAACACAGAAAAGTCATGCAAACAGTGAGACTTTGAGGGCCGATATTTACAGGGTGGGTTTAAGTTTATTGAGTGCTAAAAGGTTAAGAGGAAAATACATTATAAATTTGATGATTGCTTGCAGCTTTAAATTTTACAAAATAAAAATGGAGGTTGACTTGAAAATTTTTGCAACTCCCTTATGCAGTAGCTTAATAAAATATATCTGGGATAATTCTCTCTCACCTTTTTTTTTTTTTATTGAGAGGAAAATGGTTAGAAATAGCAACAGTGTTAATGTTTATAAAATATTTAAGCCATTGTACCTTTTATGCTTTTAAATAAATTCAAGAAGGCATTTCTTGTTTGTTTTTACTGATACTGAAATTATATTACTAATCAAATTTATAAAATTGGTAGCTTACTGTTTCATATTTTATAAGTAGTTAATATTGTAATAGATTTTAATCAGTACAGAAAAACACTGATTTAATGTCCGTCGATTTAAGGAGCCACTTATGAATTATGATATTTTGTTTTTACTGAACAAAGTTTGATAAATGCTTGAACAAATTATTCATTGAATCTGTGTTAAGTTACTTAGGTACATGTCAACCTTGTTATATATAAAGTTAACTGAAGAAAAATATCAGATTTAAAAAAAGGTAAAAATGGAGAAACTGAAATGTACATTGTATAAATTTAATTTCATTAAATTTTCTTAGTAGAGGATGAGAAAAAAAAAATCTGTCAATCCAGATAGGTATTGAAAAATTCAGTAAGGTTTTAAAAGCAAGTGCTGACAACCCTGTTAGCATAGTACCCATCAAAACTGATAGGATTACTTACATATGAAGCTTTGATAATTTTTTGATAATAGTTTTGATTATGAGTGCAAAGTAAATTCCAGAGCAGATTACATCTATGGTATCACTTCCAAAAATCTTCTCAATATGAACAAAGAAAAATAAGTGCAATTATTTTATTTGATATTTTATGCAGTTTTACATAACATTGGTCATTTGTGTGCTGACTGTCTTGAATTTAACAATATGATATTCATTAAATACTATGATCTACAAAACTTCTTTTTTTTTTTTTTTATAAAATGAGTGATTTATTGGATTTCAGGGACACCCTCTTCTTTCAGTTAAATTGAGTTTTTATTGTATTTTGAAATTGCCCTAATTAGACCCCTTTTTTTCAATGCCATGTTCCTTTTGGGTGTAGATCATGACTCTACAGTTACCCTTTTTCTTACCTGTGAATTGCCATTCCTTTTTGGTAAAGATTGTTGAATGGTTTAGTGTTGCCTTCTCCATCCAAGGCTACAGAGCCCAGTCTACCCCATTATTTTTGACACCTAACTGATGGTAGAAGAGACAAATTCATCCCTTTCCCAATGGCAGTATTAAGTAGGTGAATACAACAGACTGACCCAGAATTTGAACTTGGCTTGTTCATTCTATTTTCCTTGCTAATATCCATTACACTATTTGCACATCCTCTCTATCAAATACAATGTATTAAAGCTCTTTTTTATATATAGATCACACTTAATTTTCTTTTCTTTTATTTCAATAGCTTATTTCCAAACAAATAATTTTTGTTGTCTCTTGTCAGCAATTATAATCTTCTCAGTATAAGTTATATTCAAGAGAATTTTGTTTTCATCTGGTTATTTTCAGTAAAGTTCAAATAATATATCAGTGTTTTGGTTAAAAAAAAAAATGTAGGAAAAATGATGAAAAAGTAGAAATAAAATACTTTTCAAAGACATTTTATTTTTTTATTTCTATTTTTTTAATCTGTAAGAATCTTTGTTTTATTTATAGAATTATCATTTTAACCATAAAATTGTAATTATGTCATTTTAATTTTACTGAAAATAATCTAATGGAAGATAAATTATCATTATTTACATTTGTACTAATGAAGAAAAATGTGCTCTCTGGCAGGATACGAACCTGTGTCTGCTTTTGTAGGATGAAACTACTATTGGATTCCGTGTTCTTTAGACACCTGTTCATTCCTACAAATAACTTCACAGTTCAGCAGAGCTTCAATTCCTTCTTTTAAGGAATGCGCACTTATTGCTTGCATTGTAACATTAATATCTTGGTAAATGGAATGCCGTTAAAATCTTGGTAAATGGAGATAGAAAATTGCAAAACATAAATTTACATTAAAGTTTATTTTAATTATTGAATGTGGGGAATAAACGGTTAAACTATGAAAGAATATTGGCTTTGAAAATCATGTCTTTTCTGATGTCTCTCTACTGTTCAGCAAAAAAGAAAAAAGCCTGTCATACTGGATTGGTTGACTGGCTAAATATAGACTTTATCAGAAAAGGGATAATTGATATTTTTGGCAATATGACGCCATTCAAGTATTGACTTATTCTGCAAAAATGCTTTATTTCCTTGAGTTTCTGAGACTGTTACCTGAAAAATTTTAGGTTAATTGTAAGATTCATTTATGACCATATATATATATATATATATATATATATATATTGTATTTAGGCAGTAATCCTTCTTTCATGCACATTTCACTAAAAACGACAGACAAGGTGCTTTTATTTAGTTCTTTATACAATTTCTCATGCGATCTAATTATTTTTTTTCTTTTCATACATACAACAAACTATTTCTTATTTTAACAGTTAAAATATAATCCTTGAAAATGGCTAAATGTATAGCCGATGCGCTCGGAAAAAAAGAACATTCGGACAGTTTTTATATAATTTATCATCCGAAAAGAAAAAAAATTATTAAATCACATTTGAAATTGTATAAAAAAACTAAATAAAAGCACCTTGTCTGTCATTTTCAATGAAATAATATATATATATATATATATATATGGTGGACTCTCCTGTCATATTTGATGTATGAGGGTCAAGCGGCTTAGTTCCTAGGAACTGACAGCCAGACACCAGCACACATGATTATAGTGGTAAAGGCTTTGTGCAGAACCAAGTACATTTTTTGAAGGGCCGAATACAAAGACCTGCTGCACTATGTGCCATAAGGTACCCAAAATTCACAGTTGTCCTTCTCCTAGATGAGTTGCCATCCAAGGGTATAGAACTCAGTCTATTCTGCTATTTACCCATAGCTGGAGGGAGAAGAGGAGGATTAATACCTTTTCCAAGGGTATTAGCACGTAAGTGAATGTAATAGATTCAACTGGAATATATATATATATATATATATATATATATATATATGCTCAATTAAAACTATGAACATCACCCTTCTTGCACCATGCTTTGAATATAATTACTGTAGTCACCTCACTCCTGATTTAATACAAATTCTAACACATCTGTGTGGAATTAGTCTTTTGTATAACTGTCCTTTAAAGTTGCAGGTTTAAGATAGAATGTCAAAAAATTCTTTTTAACAATTTTGTTACTTTTTTTAAAGCTTAGTTTCTTCCAGTCATGAAATCTTTGATAAACATTCCCAATTTTACTGAGATTTGCTGACAGGAGGCAGAACATTTTTGGATGATAATTTAGCCGTTTTTATCTGGAGGTGGAGTGCACTGTGTAAAAAATAAAAAGAATATAACCTGAAATTTGTTGATGTTTACTTATCCATTGTATTGATTGAATTCTAATATTTCTACTAGTATCTCCTGTTTTCTTGCACATCTGAGGGGCTCTGCTGTAGACTTCTAAGCCTCATTAAGTGCAGAGGAAAAATAAGAAGTCTGCAGTTTGCTAATTTGGTCAGATTTTGGGAACTGCATTGGGATGAGAACCTTTCAGCATTCTCTACATATTAAAGAATATAATCTGAAACTTGTTCATCCACAGTCATGCACGATACTATTGAGTAATGAGCTTTCTACTTGTGTCTTTGATCTTCTCCTCATCTGCTGTACTTTTGAGCCCTGATTTCTCTACTTCTATTTTTTTTTTTTTACCCAGAGATTGGGCTGACTCTAAATTTAGAAAACCATCTCTGTTCACTTGCAAAGTTATTTCCATCTTGGCATACACAACGATATTTAATGCTACAACTATTCAGCTTACGTCCACAGATCATATTCTCGTTCTCTCACTTTATGCTCAACTGCTATTTTTGTCCCATTTCACATCTTCAAATAACAAATGGACATTGGCTAGATATTTACAAGTAGCAAGGTACTAAAGCAGACAGTCTGGATAATTTAATAGAATAAATGTTTTTTTTTTTTTTTGTTTTTTTTTAGGGAGGTTCACAATTGAAAAAAATCAGTTGTTAATGTTTTACAGTT